CTCCTGCATTGACTTTCAGATGTTCAAGTTAGTTTGAAGAAATAAATTTCACTAAAATTTCCTATTACAGAGCTTCAGACTTAGGTACCCAATCCGGTACATCGAAAGAGCCACCACCCGGCTAAACCACGGGGAAACTCTGACCGCTCGACCTGGACTAGTTAAAACAGCATTACTGCTAATCCGCCACTAAACTCCGTCCCCAAATACAAATCGCTAATCGAATGAACCCAAACAATTAATGAAATAAAAACATTGTTGATGAATTTACTGACTTATTCATTAAAAAAATAAAATAAAAATACTGAAAAACTCAGCAAAAACTATGTAAACAAATAAATTACTGAATAAGACAGCAATACTAGTACCGACTAACACGGTAATTTTTGACAGTTCAGAGACTCTGCAATTTACGGAGTTTTCAGCAAAAGCAAAAACTACTGGGTTGATTACTGAAAACTCAGCTGTTTAAAAACCCAGTAAAATTTTACCGACTTCGGTAATCTAAGCTCTGTGTGTAGGTATTATCACATGTGAATGGAAAAAATAGTAAAGGGTGTTACGATCAAAATTTGGTCGATTTAAACTTCACGCATTTCTTGTAATTGAGCATTTAAAAAACCTGAACACCCCTCATTTTGTAGGTATGCGCGTGCAGAATGATTTTGGATCTTGACATTTGTTCTTCAGTTATCAAAATGGCGTCCAAGGTAGAGGAGCAACGCATCAAATTTTTGCACGCGCATCACGAAAATCCAAACTACTCGCACTTGAACCAGACTTCAAACAGATTCCTGGGCAGGAGTATTATACGGCAACCGGAAGCATATGAAACTGTCGAAGTTTGCTATGAAATATCTGATTTGGCAGGCTATCTGTATCTGTGGCTTAAAAAGCCACATTTTCATTGCAACCGGGACCATCAACCAGCAAATTTACGTGAACGAGTGGCTGGAAAAACGTCTTCTGCCTTTCCGTGCTGTTTTGGCCGGATTTAACATCCTTTCATTACGGATAAAACGCTATGGAGTGGTATGCCGCCAACAACGTTGCTCGGAGAACAAGAACCCTCCCAACACGCCACGGCTCCGTCCACTTGAAAAAAATAAATAAAGGGTGTACTGTTTAAAATCCGCGCACACTCAAATTGCTCTAACTTTTGATACGTTGGGTAAAATTAATTGAAATTTTGCGTAGACATAGTTTAATGTGTATTGTTTACACTCTGTGAGTTGATTTCATCAGGTGCGCAAAAGTTTTCAAAATGGCGAGGAACGACGAAAGAACAGGTGCGTGCGCGAAAAAGTTTGGCACAAGTACTTTGAGATGGATGTGTCGCCGAGTGTCGCATCGTATCATCGGAAAAAAGTTGGGAATCGCGAATTCCCCGGTGTCTGGTATCATAACACGGTTCGAAGAACGTCTGACTGACCGTCAGGTCAACGAGAACGATCACAAACGCGTGGTTGGGGCCTTTAAACGGAAACCGAACACCTCAGTTCGAAAAGTGGCTAAAAAGTTGCATGTGAGCAAGACTTTCGTTCAGAATACCAAAACTCGAGCTGAACTACGTACGTTTAGGGTTCAGAAGTCCCCAAACCGTGACGAGAAACAGAATACGGTCGCAAAAATCCGTGCCCGGAAGTTGTAAGACCAGAAGTTAACGAAACCACACTGCTGCGTAATGGATGACGAGACATATGTGAAGGCGGACTTCTTCAACCAGATTCCAGGAAACCTGTATGTGACTGCCAAGGATAAGTGTGATGTTCCCGAGAACCTCCGAACACAGAAGATGCCGAAGTGCGCCAAGAAGTTCTTAATTTGGCAAGCGATTTGTACTTGCGGAAGGCGGAGTACACCTTTCGTTATCGCAAGCACCATGAATGGACAGGTGCATTCAGAAGAGTGTCTTCAAAAGCGGCTTCTCCCTCTCCTGAAGGCTTACGACGGTCTAACGATCTCCTGGCCGGATTTGGCTTTACGAAGAACGTGCTAGAGTGGTATAAGGCGTTAGAAACCTAAATAGGTATCTCATAATGTTCTTTTACGGTTTTACAAAGCATAAGAAAAATGAAGACTTTTGGAATATTTAAAATTATTTGATTGACAAAAACGTTGAACAAGAACTTTTGGTTAAATTTTTAAACTTTTTGTTAAATCGTGTTTTAAAAGAATTTGTGCTCAGAAAACAATGTTTGAGACATATTAAATCATTTTTGTGAAAAAATACACAACAAAGCGTACTAACAAAAAGCTAAACAATCTGACCAAAAGTTGTTGTTCTACGATTAATATCATTTTTCAAATGTCCATGGATTTAAATATTTCAAAACTTTGCATTTTTTAAAGCATTTCCTTGAACAAAAAAAAATCAGACAAAGACATTTAAAGATTTTTGGGTTTTAACATTTTTTTTTAAATTATTATTGAACAAAAATTATAAAAACATTTTTTGTTAATTTTTCCCAGAAAGACATTATTTTTCTCTTCAACTAGATCAGAAATGCCGTTTCCGTGCTACAATTCTTTGAAAAGTTTCAAGCCCATAAATCAATTACCCATAACAAACAATTACGCAAAGTTTCATACAAATCGAAGAAGTCTAAATCAAAAATTGAATCTATTTGTCGTGGAGCTGCTCTTCAGTTTCAACTCGGTGATTTTAACTTTTTTTTTTTCATGAGGCTTGTTCGTACTACAACGTGTGCAAGATTGTTTTCAGGAATTTTAAAAGTTTTTTTTTGTATTTAAAGGTGGTTTGAAGCTGAGGTGCTTTTTAGGAGCTATTTTAATTAGTTCTAATAACTACTTTGTCGTTTTGATACAACACACTTAGAAATAACAAAATTTACACGTGACGGAATCCATCTTTGACATAAAGGATGAGACGTAAACAAACATGTCATGTAAAATTAGGTGCTCCGAGGCTGAAAAGTGTTACTCGACGAAAAGGACGTTTGATTGAGCTGAACTTTGCGTCTATTATGACTCAATTATATGTCAAAATTGATGCTCGTATATGTCAGTCTCAGAGCACCAGAGAATTTTTCTAAGAGTGTACTTATGCATTTCAATGACTTCTACAGTACACAGTCGGCTAGAAAAGTAATCTAGTTATAAGACTACTTTATAAGCCCCGGAACCGCTGAGTTCCTGAAGGGAACCCCCCTAAACCCCAAGCTGCATGTATTGACCAACGGCAGCTTCCAGGGTTGGCACTCAAGACCTTTGTAGGTTCCGGGTCTCAGGGCGTATAGGCGTGGGAGACTTTTCGAATACGGGAGAACCTAGCCAACATTATAGACACGGCTAAATACCTGTTTATTAGATTTGATGGTACTTTGCGGGCGGTGGGCGGCGATGGCGATACTTCGGAGGTCGCACTGGTCCAGAGGACACCAGTATAGTGCGGGCGGTGGGCGCCGATGGCAACGGTGCAGACGAGACTTTGGGGGTGACGATGATACAGAGGACGCCGTCCCTGCTGGCAGTGGCTTCGGAAGTGGAGATGAACGTGAGGCCGGATCTCCGGCAGCGTAGGTGCTCGTTAGCGTGACCGTCGCGACGCGATAGATGTCGCTTGGCGGAGCAGGCACGGAAGGTCATCCAACACGGCTTTTTTCCAAGACCGTTTGCGGGAAGGCAAGGCCACGACGTCGAGGTGGGCAAAACTGGTCACTTACACTCTTCGTCCGTAAACTCCACGAACAAAGTTCCCTCCGTGATCTCCTTTCTGTAGCTCGATCCCGACTGCCTTTGCTCCGTTGTCGTTCTCTGCTCCCGATCATGCGCTCACTGGCTCTCCCCTGAGAGAGTTTCCGCCCAACTTCATTCAGGTTCAGTGGATTGCATCCACCAACAACTAGAACTCACTGATTAGCTGTTTGGTCACTCTTCTGATCTCTGCCGCCCGCGCATTCAAACTTGCCGTTGCAAATCGGAATAAATCAATTACTTAATATGAACATCCTTACTCTTCCGTGTCATTTAATTTTTAAGTCATCAATGTTACCCGCTGGTAACATAGTTGGACAGCATTAATAGCTTCTCGGGGTGACGTAGAAGCAAAGTTGCTCTGCTATCCAAGGCCATCTTTGTGAATGAAACATTTCAGTTCAATGTATTCATGTTTAACTAGTACTGTTTTGCATCTTATAAACTAAGCATTTTAGAGACTTGGTTTCTTCTTTGCAGAAGACGTTGAAACCGTCAGAGCAATTCAATGTTCAGTTTAAGTTGATGTTGTAAAACTACAGCAATACATTTATTTTGAACCGTTTTTTATGTATTCCTTCAAAACATACTTTTTAATATATTTTATTTTATTGTGTAGAACATGGTTAAAATTTTAAGCAACGTTTTTCTACTGTTGAGCAGGTCAACTATAAAAAATAACAATTTACTCGACCTTCTCCGATTTACATGAAGCTTTGCATAAACCATCATCGCATAAATTAGGCAAAATATGGGCCATTAAATCGCATGATGGCTTCTTACAATCAATACTGCGAAACCATTGACTTTACAATGTCTTGGCATAAACTTAAACAATATTTTAACTCCATATGGAATTATAATTGATAAGAAGAAAAATGAGAAAGCAGACATTGCTTAATTTTTATTTAAGACCAAATTGTACTTTTTACTTTTTCTTTTCGTGCAAAGATTTCGGATCATTTCATATTTAAGGTCATTTAGGACGATGGTACTGTGTTGTTTATGTTAGGGGCTGTTCATAAACTACGTTGAATGTTTTTGAGAGGTTTAGACTCCCCCCTCCCTTTGCATAAACCATCGCCAACATACATTTTTGGAGATTTGTAAAGATCATAGACCCTTGTCAACAACCTCTAATGTGTAGACGTGGTTTTAGAACAGCCCCTTCATTGAAATAGGGTCATGAACTGCTATATTTCTTATACATTCCAACTCGATAAACCTATTATATATTGACTAATTTTGTGCAAAACTAAGCTAATTTCTCGGGTTTATGCGATTTATTCACGACGTGAGCTTGTCGTATTATACGCCAACATCGCGGTCGTATCATCTGGAATACTGATTTGGAACTGCAACAGGACTACCAAATATGTGACCATTGTGGCTAGTAGCTGGAAAGAAAATATTTGTACCTTCATTTTTTCTTCTTCAAACAATCAAATTCCATCAGACTACCGATTTGAACAGCGTTCTATTGACATCGAAGAATCCACCCAGATTGATATTGGAGGGATTCATCTCGGTTGCCCTCAAGAACATGTTAACCTCAGTTTGCGCATCCGAGTTCATCCAGCTAAGCTCCGCCATGAGCAACTTCTTCTGAAATTTGGTTCGAACATTGAACGAGGCGTAGTGAGCTTCGTCACAGATGAAGAACAGCAATCCCACGCTGCAGAAAGCTGTCACTGCCAGCCCTATATCTTTGATGCCGAATCCTTCGGAAATTTGTGACATCAAGCCGTAAATCGACAGGGTGATAATGAAGAATAGATAGAGACACAGGAAAGTGAAGGTGTAGCACGTGGAAAATCCGGTGTCCCGAGCCAGCTTGCTCAGACGAAGCCACAAGGAACGGTACTCCGATACCATAGCCGCAGGTCCAACGTGTCTCAATGCCTGGAAGAAAACTATTAAAGTATCGGAATAAGCTTCGGCACTAACGTTACCCGTTGGAAATCTTCGGCAAGAATATTAGCAGTTATACTGAGCGTCTCGCAGGCCATGTACCAGTAGCCACCCATCATGTAGGTTAATGTGTCCAAAATGCAGTACGGAATGACCTGAAACAGTTGAAATTCGACCATAGTGACGTGGGTGATTATTACCGCTAGACATGACAAAGCCGGCAATAGGACAGCAATCAGCAGGGCTTTGGTCTTGAAATCCAGCTCCAGGTCCCGACCCGCAGTTCTACGATACATGGCCTCGAAATCCACCCATTGGTTGAGCAGATTGGACACTTTACGCGTTTCGTACCACATTAGCGGAATGATTAGCACCGGCAGGATGTTGACGATGAACAGATATGCAATGACGGCTTCCTCAAAGCGACCTTCCAATGTGCGAACGATCTGGATTCGTTGGAAAGTGATGTAGCTGACGTAAACCTATAGTTTGTGTGATCAACGGGAAATCAGTTAAATATTAAATATGGTTCCGAAGTGAGTCATCATCCGTGATTACCATGAGTGTCACGAAAAATACGCTACAGTACGCCATCGATGAACTTGCACATGTGAACAGTGTTACTCCGGGTGAAGGTCTCGAGAAAGGAAACACTCCCAGCATCCGCAGAACGTTGTAGATCGGTTTTGTGATGCCGTAAACTATATCCTGTAATTAATTTTGTGAAGGATCCATTACTCATGAGAGGAAGTTCCGGCAGTTGTAACGTAATACTCACAGATCTGGAATTGAATTCACTTTCTAAACCAAACGCATCCCTTGCAGAGTTCGGAGGGAAACCGACTCGATTGTTGAATGCATTGGAAATGGTGGGCTTATCTTCATGGTAAATGGGTTTGGCGTCCAGAAACACAGTTCGTGATTTGCTTGTTGCGTCCAAGTCAATGTATTGAATTGCACCTTGACTGAAGTTCATTTCTGCTGTTCCAGAATTGGTACTTCACTTGGCGAAAAACTCTAAGTTACTGAAACTCACACTCTGCGTTCCAGTGCTTTTCGTGTGACAAGTTTTAATCGATTGCTTGGAGAACTTTTCTCAATCAATGAAAAATGTATGCTGCTTGAAATTCCAGTCAATGTGACCATGACCATCACAAGAAAAACAACAAGGGTAAAGTTCCTTTCCGCGGCTGACTCCGCTGAATATTTAACGCATCATCATATGAGCGTGTGAGCGCCATCAAGATGAATAATTTCACTACGCGAATGGCACCATAAACCCCTCCACCACTGCCACCTACCACGATCAGTTCGTATTTCATGTCCGTTTCCAAGCGAACAGAGGAAGCCTATCGTGATGGCCTATACCCCATGCAGAATGACGACCGGTGGTCATTGATCCATAAAATATTTTTTTGTTAATGTCACCCATCATCTTTCGCGCTGGACACTTGGCTAGGGGTGTTCATTTTTCGGGTCCGATAATTCATAACCTGCTTCAAGCAGGGTGCAACAGATTATGAACAACCCTCACAGCTGATTGGTGGGTCCATCCACGCTGCATTTAAATTTGAAGGTAGTAGCAGTAGCAGCTCTCTCGATTCCAAACACCTCGCTGTCTGAGAGGGGCTCTCGCTACCTCCATGAGGGTATTATAGACACATCATGTATCATTTAGCAGCATGTCTCTATTTTCTACACCCCATATTATTTGGATTTGATTATGAGGTCCTTCACACTACATGTAGTAGCGCAGCTAGTTGATTCTCTCCAAAACAGACAAACAGGCAAATAGAGGTTAAGGTTAATAGCGTCGCTTTATAAACATGTCATCTAACAGAATCGACCGATTGCCACTGAATATTTGTGGGTTTTGGGCGCTCACCGCCGTCGTCGTTGTCGGTCTCCGCATTATATTATGTGTGATATAAAAGGGATGACGGACGGCAATGACCGTCAAACTGCGACGCTTTTATGCTGTTTGGTATGACAAAAACAGGTATGCACATATATCCGAACTGATCAACAAGCCGCCGCCACCGCCCCAAAATGTGCCACTCATTTTCTCATACGTTGAAAATATGCTGCGATGCTGGGCTGGGACCGGAATTGTCACAGCTGCTGCATATCTGCGCTGCGTTTGGTTATGGTGTTTTCACGGCCGCTTTGGGTGGCTTTTGTGGCACGGCTGAGGCTGAGTTGCGCCTTCAACACCTTATGATTTATTGATCTCTGGACAGCAGGTAAGATAAACGTGTTTGGGATACCGATTCATTATGTATACCAAATTGTTCAAAATAGGGTGTTTCCGAGGGTGTATTTTCGAAATCATCCAAATGTAAGACATTTAACCAAAAAAAAAAGGAACCAACCTGCTACTCAGGGAATTGATGACAAAGGAAGAAGTTAGTATCGAAGCCATACCACCATCCGGAGGTTCAGTTAGGAGGACCGAATACACCAAAATCTGGTCGAAAAGCGGAAGTTTTTATCGTTTGCTCTCTAGTTTTCAAAATGACGTCCAAGCAAGAGGAGTAGCGTGTCAAAATTTTGCTCGCGCAGCAAAAGAATCCGACGTTCTCACGACGAAACTTATGTGAAGATGGATTTCAAGCAGCTTCCGGAACAGGAGTTTTATACTGCATCAGGAAAAGGAAAGGTGGCTGAAATTTTCAAAACCATCAAACTATCGTAGTTCCCGAAAAAATATCTCGTCTGGCAGGCCATATGTACGTATGGTCTAAAAAGCGGCATTTTCATTACTACGGGAACCATCAATCAATAGATCTACGTCCAGGAGTGTCTGGAAAAGCGGCTGATACCATTCCTAAAGCAACATAATAGACCTGTGCTGTTCTGGCCGGACTTGGCGAGCTGCCTCTATGGGAAAAAGGCAATCGAGTGGTACGATGCGAACAGCGTGGTTGTGGTACCCAAAGACCACAACCCTCCCAACAGCCCAGAACTCCGCCCTTACTTACCTTACCTTACCAATCAGGCTAAGGCCTTGTTGTCCTCTGCTGTCCGAAGAAGTCGTCTCCACTCTACTCGATCCATGGCCACAGTTCGCCAGCCTCGTAGTCTGCGAAGGGTCCGCAGGTCACCTTCTACTTGGTCGATCCACCTTGCCCGCTGCGCGCCTCTTCTTCTTGTTCCTGTTGGGTCGCTTTCTAGAACCATTTTCACTGGGTCGTCGTGCGGCATTCTTACGACGTGCCCAGCCCACCGTAGTCGCCCAATTTTTGCAATGTGGACGATGGATGGTTCTCCCAGCAGCTGGTGCAATTCGTGGTTCATTCGCCTCCTCCACGTTCCGTCATCCATCTGCACTCCACCGTAGATGGTACGCAACACCTTCCGTTCGAAAACACCAAGGGCGCGTTGGTCCTCCACGAGCATAGTCCAGGTCTCGTGGCCGTAAAGGACCACCGGTCTAATCAGCGTCTTGTAGACAGTCAACTTCGTGCGGCGGCGAATTTTATTCGACCGGAGCGTCCTCCGGAGTCCAAAGTAGGCACGATTCCCTGCCATAATGCGTCTTTGAATTTCTCTGCTGGTATCATTTTCGGCGGTCACCAGTGAGCCCAAATACACGAACTCATCGACCACCTCGATTTCGTCACCGTCAATCTGAACTCGGGGTGGGAGGCTAACATTGTCTTCCCTAGAACTTCTTGCTTTCATATATTTTGTCTTTGATGCGTTGATGGCAAGTCCAATCCGTCTAGCTTCAGCCTTCAGTCTGATGTACGTTTCCGCCATCATCTCAAAGTTCCGTGCCATAATGTCAATGTCATCGGCGAAACCAAGGAGCTGGATGGACTTCCTGAATATCGTGCCACTCGTGTCTATCCCAGCTCTTCTGATCACACCTTCTAACGCGATGTTGAACAGCAGACACGAAAGTCCATCACCCTGCCGTAACCCCCTTCGAGATTCAAAGGGACTTGAGAGTGTCCCGATACTCGAACAACGCACGTCACTCGATCCATCGTCGCCTTGACCAATCGCGTCAGTTTATCCGGAAATCCGTACTCGTGCATAATCTGCCATAGCTGATCTCGATCGATTGTGTCGTATGCGGATTTGAAATCGATGAACAAATGATGTGTGGGCACGTTGTATTCGCGGCATTTCTGCAGAACCTGCCGAATCGCGAAAATTTGGTCCGTGGTAGCGCGGGCACCCATGAATCCCGCCTGGTATTGCCCCACGAACTCTCTTGCATATGGTGACAGACGGCGGCATAGAATTAGGGAGAGTACCTTGTAGGCGGCGCTCAGCAGTGTGATCGCGCGGTAGTTGCAGCAATCCAACTTGTCGCCCTTTTTGTAGATTGGGCATACGACACCTTCCATCCACTCCTCCGGTAATATCTCCTCCTCCCAAATCTTGGCAATTACCCAGTGCAGCGCTCTAGCCAGTGCTTCACCACCGTATTTCAATAGCTCACTTGGTAGTTGATCTACACCAGTTGCTTTGTTGTTCTTCAGCCGACCGATCTCCTCCTCAACTTCTTGAAGATCAGGGGCCGGTAGCCTGTCGTCTTCTGCGCGTGCTCCAAGGTCTGTTGCCGTGCCACCTTCGTTTTCTGCTGCTTCACCGTTGAGGTGCTCGTCATAGTACTGCTTCCACCTCTCAATCACCTCACACTCGTTCGTGAGAAGGTTACCGTCCAAGTCCTTGCACATATCGGCTTGCGGCACGTAGCCTTTGCGCGAACTATTTAGCTTCTCGTAGAACTTCCGTGTGTCGTTTACGCGGTACAGATTTTCCATCGCCTCGCGATCTCGATCTTCCTGCTGACGCTTCTTCCTTCGGAAAACCGAGTTTTGTCCGCGCTTGTCTGTATCGCTCCACATTCAATCTCGTGCGGTGTTGCAGCATTCTCGCCCGTGCTGCATTCTTCTCCTCTACTAACAGTTTGAATTCGCCGTCAAACCAGTCATTTCTTCGGTCCGGGATTGCAGTACCCAGTGCCGCTACAGCAGTACTACCTATGGCGGAACGGATGTCCCCCCAGCCATCTTCAAGAGAAGCTGTGCCAAGCTGCTCTTCCGTGGCTAGTGCAACTTCCAGCTGCTGCGCGTAGTCCTGGGCAACTCCGGTGTCCCGTAGTTGCTCAATGTTGGGTCGTGGCGTTCGACTTCGACGTGTGTTATGCACCGTCGAGAGTTTTGAGCGCATGCATACTGCAACTAGGTAGTGGTCCGAATCTATGTTCGCACTGCGGTACGTGCGGACGTTGATAATGTCGGAGAAGAATTTCCCGTCGATTAGAACGTGATCGATTTGGTTTTCTGTGTGTTGGTCAGGTGATCTCCAGGTGGCTTTGTGGATATCCTTGCGGGGGAAAAAGGTACTTCGAACTACCATACCCCGGGAGGCTGCAAAGTTCACGCATCGTTGGCCATTGTCGTTCGATACGGCATGCAGGCTGTTTGGCCCGATTGCCGGTCTATACATTGCCTCCCGTCCTACCTGAGCGTTCATGTCGCCAATGACGATTTTGACGTCCCATTGCGAACAGCCGTCGTACACCTGCTCCAGCTGCGCATAGAACGCTTCTTTCTCGTCGTCGGGTCTCCCTTCGTGTGGGCAGTGCACGTTGATGATACTGTAGTTGAAGAAACGGCCCTTAATCCTCAACTTGCACATCCTCGCGTTGATCGGCTGCCAACCAATCACGCGTTGGCGCATCTTACCCAGCACTACAAAGCCGGTTCCCAGCTCGTTGGTGGTGCCACAGCTCTGGTAGAAAGTAGCCGCTCGATGCCCGCTTTTCCATACCTTTTGTCCCGTCCAGCAAAGTTCCTGCAGTGCTACGACTTCGAAGTTGCGTGGTTGAAGTTCGTCATAGATTAACCTATCGCAACCCGGGAAGCCGAGCGATTTGCAGTTCCATGTTCCGAGTTTCCAATCGTAGTCCTTATTTCGTCGCGTATTTCTTTCTTCGGTATTTGCAACTTTGTTTTT